CGCACAGTAATGATTTGTTGACAAGATGCGTGAGAGATGAGAGACAAGAAGAGGAGACGAGTTTAAGCATCTTGACAGACAAACCATCAGGACCGAATGTTCTGTGTGGACGAGTTTAGTGCATCCATGACCTCCTGGCAAATAACCTCACGAAAGTTGAATGGGGAGTGGACGTGAGGAGCGTTTGGGAGACTCGCTAAAAGGGCGTCCAAAAAATCACGTGTCAGTGGAGGGGACGAGTTGACTATGTTGGCAAAGTGGGTGTTTAGTATGGCTGGGGAAAAAAATTGAAACGGGGATGGACGAGCGCGCCTTGTAACTTCCAAGTTTCGTAACTCTCTCCATCTGGCCTTGCTGGTGGCTGCGGAAGACAATCTGCCTGAAATGCAAGAATTTTTTGCAGAGTCGAGGGCATTTGAGACATCGTTGCGTAGTCTTCGATACCCAGCGACGTCACTGCCCGAGCGGGAGGAGGATGCCAGTTTATAGGCAGCGTCACGCTTTTTCATAAGAGCAACAATGCTCGGAGTCACCCAGGGTTTACGCCTAGAAGACAACCTGATGCACCTGAGCGGGGCTACCTCGTTAAAAGATTTTATGAGGACTTCAGTGAGAGAGGGCACCAAGTTGTCAAGGGAATGCACGTCGGCTTCGATCGACGGGTCGAAAGAGTGCTGCAGTCGTGTTGAAGATTTGTCGACCAGACATGAGAGAACGTCGCTGAGGGTCCCATTTAAGGCCGCTTCGTCAACCCGATTCAAACCACGGGACCTAATGACTCTGGTGATATGCTTGTTAGAAGCGAAGCGATAGGTGAGCGAGATGAAATCATGGTCAGCAATAAAAGGAATATCAGACTTTCCAAATGTCTGGATAGCATTTGGGTCTTTCACTATGAAGAGGTCAATAGTAGTATGGAAAGGGGGAGTTGTATCAAGACAGTGATGTGTGGGAGCAGTGGATACGAAGTGGAGGTTGTGCAGGTCAACGAGAGATCTCAATGCTCGAGCATCTGACAGAGAGCTGGAATCTAGGTCCGCGTTAAAGTCACCAGTAATGATGACATTCCCGTACAGAGGGAGGTAAGCGGCCAAGCAGTTGAAAAAGTGCGTGGGAGAGCAAGCAGAGGGACGTCTGTATACCACCGCCATCAAAAGCTTGGTGTTGTCGGACTTTATTTCACCAAGGATGAATTCAGGCGTGTTATCGAAAACTGGATCCGAAGTAGCTAGGAAACTGAATTTAAGGTGAGATCTGACGTACAGACCAACACCGCCACCCTGCTTTCCAATTCGGTCAAGCCTATAAAAATTGAAATCGGGGAGAGAGAGGTGTGAGTCAGAGATATCAGGTGAGAGGAAAGTTTCAGTAATGGCTATGACATCAAAATGTGTAGAAAGGGCTTGTGCTTCGAGAAGAGCAAAGTGACAGGGGGAATTTAGTCTGTTTATATTGATGTGGCCGACAACGAAGGAAGCAGAGGGCGGGGTATGGTCCCGGATTAGTTGGCATCATGGACCAGAAACTGGAGAAGATGAAGTTGGGATGGCTTGAGATAGCTGGGCCGGAAAGACAGACACTGTCGGGCTAAAACAACCGTCTGTTTTACTAAGTTGCGGAGCCGGGTTTTTTGGGATGGAGGCAGTAGGTCGCGATTTGACAACCTGGGGCGCGAAGTTAAGGTTGAGTGGAGCATGTCTGCGAGTGCCGATCGGAGTGGCAGCCACTGACATGGCACCAGAGCGCGGAGCGGCCTGGGCAGGAGGCTGACCAGGAAGCAAAGGCGTGCAGCTGTCAAGGTCACTCTCCGACGTGATTGGGATCGGGGTGGAACGTGTGTTCTCCCGCATATGGACGACCATACCCGAGACGAAAGGGCGCGCGAAACCCAGCTCACGACTGCGCGCGAACGCCTTTACAAAGAGATTGTGGATCGGCTGCGGTAATAGCTGGCGGATGAAGACGGAATTTCCGTGACCGCACTTAAAAATGTCCCTCGCCGTCTTCCCAGCGAGCTTTCCCGAGCGCTCCAGTATGACATCACGCACCACTGTTGAGTCGATACGCACGACGAAAGTGGACGTAGTATCGGTCGGATTTGGACGAGAACGAATGGCAGTCCATCTTCTGGTGGCCACTATGCGACCACCACCGTTTGGGCAGCCAATCGCCTCAAAAAGCATCCCGGCAGCATCCTCCAGCGAACCCTGGAACCCCTGTGGTAGGCCCAGAATAAGAAGCTCGGAACGATCCTTGAGACCCACCACGGACTTGAGGCTCTTCACCTCGTCGGCAACACATTTGACTTTGGTCAGAATGGAAGTCTGGGTGGCTTTGATCTCGTTCCAAAATTCAGTGAATTCATTATTCACGAAGCCAGAAAACCATGCTGGTGGTTTGTCGCCCGTGGTAGATGCCATGCTATCCAGCAAGTGGGTTTAGTCCGTACTGGAGGAAGAAACAGTGGGAAGGGCGGCCGATCGGTCAGCACCACAGAAGTCACTCCGGGATTCCACTCTCGACGTCTTCGATGGGAAAAGCTCGTAAGGTGATGCCTGTCTCTTACGGCCTGAGATTTCGATAAGAGGCAAAGTACCAGCAGAAGCAGAGTCAATTTGAGTGAAAGGAGGGGATTCCAAAAAAACGCCACCGGACTGACGAGAGTTGGCTAAAACCGCAGACTGAAAAGAGCAGGCACGACAAGTAAAGGTCGCAAGGTCAGGGTTTGAAGTTAGATGGAAACAGTGTCGATGGAAAGATCTATCACAGGAATCGTACTGCAAGATATTAACACCCAGATAACTCAGCGCTTCACCACACTCGGCGCATGAAGACAAGACCATTTGATAAAAATGAAAGTTTGAAAATTTAAAAACTAGTTAAGACAAAAAATAAAAATACATAGATTGTGTCAAAAAGTTTCCCATATCTCCTCTTCGGATCTCAAAACTACGCAAGAAACTGTAACAAGTGAGATAATTTAAAGGACCGATTGACACGATAAATTGAACAGTTTGAATTTCGCGCGAAAATTTGAGTCACTGACCAGTCATAAACGGTAGTTGTGAAAATTCTGGATTTAAAAGATTTGAAAATTGGCGCCTCAGTGGCACCAACTCAATTAGTTAAGGATCAAAAATTGGCGGGAGATACGGGAGTAAAATGATGCCTTTTACAAGAGACGGTAAGGGAATTCGCAAATTAACCTAGAGATGATTGAAACGCAAAAATAAATAAGTAACTTATACGCAAAAATGAAATGAGAAAAAATGATTGATGAAGCGAACGCAGAAAAATTACATTGCAAATTACGTGAAAAAGTAAGAAAGTAAACGCGATTTGACACAGTCGATAGAATAAAATTAAAATTAAGATTAAAAATAAAATTGTCTAGCGTGTAGATAGCGCTAGATGAAAATACAACAGTATTAAACTAAATACTATAAAACAAAACAAGATGAAGTAAAATAAATATAAATTAAAATAAGCTTAAAATTAAAATAGCCATCGCGATGACTAAGCGCAAGAACAAATTAGGTTAAGAGTGGTGATGCGGCGAAGAAATAGCACCGGCTATGAGGAGTCTCTCCGAGAAGATACAAATATGTGCATAACGGTAAAAATAGTTGACACTGGTACTTAGCAGCAAAAATGTTGGAAGTGTTGCATTCGGTGAGATGTGATGTGTGTAGTGTGTAGAGCGTAGCGGTCCTGGTGTGGAGGCTGTGTTGTTGTTTGTGTTGTTTGCAGGAGTGTATAGATCAAAACTCGTTTAAATTGGAGATTTGATGAAGGTTATGTTATAACCAGGCAGGCAGTTTATTCATCCACTGGCCAAATAACTGACTAAAAGCCAAGAATTTTTAGCAGGAAGCGCAGTGGCCAGCTGGACGAACTCGCCTGCAAAAATATGCCGCTCGAGGAAGTGGCAAAATTGAGAAAATGTTTATTAAGGAAGAGAGCCTCAAAGACCAGTGTGTCGTTACTCACCGAGAAAGAGAGAGAAAGAGAGAGAGAGAGTCGGAGGTCTCACATATCTGTTGCGCTAGGAATCGAGGTGTACCCCTCCACTGTCTGCAAGGCCATTGTGGCCACCTAATGCTTTCCTACAACCATAAATAGAACGTATTACATCGCTAACGTTGGGCAGACCACCATTTATCTTACCACTAAATGGCACCTGTGTCGGTAAGAACAGTAGGTTATTTCATTTGACCAGATTATAATGTCAAACGTAGGTGTGCAGGATGAGGCTACTAGTTATTAAAGTTGGAGAAAGTTTCTTAGTTACCGAATATCTACATTACGGGTATAGGCAGTTGAAAGTTTTACAATAGTAACTCGACTTCAGGTGCGACTTTCGATAATTGCCACGATTCGTTCAACGATGCCGGCAATACAAAGCTGTTATCCTGACGAAGTTAACTGAGTAGATAGTACTACCAAAGAATTACGGCTTGCAGTGAGTATAATGGTGGAAGCTGTTATCATTGGACAGAGCAGTTATGAGCGAGAGAAGCTCGCGATTTCATAGTTAGAAGGGCAGTTATTTTCAACAGAACATTTGTAACATGGTTTAAATCGATTTTTTTTTCAGGATTTTTGTCTAATATAAGTTAGATGAGGTTTTATATGATCAACGCAGCCCAAGATATCTGCATAAGTTTATAATACTTAACTTTGTTGGGTGCGATTTTTTCACGAATATCGTCTCTCTCTTTCATCCTCTCTCTCTCTCTCTCTCTCTCTCTCGTCAGTCTTTAAATGAATGCAATTGCGTAAATTTTCGATCAATCTCGAATGTATACTCCATTGATGTATTCTGTGACAAGTTATATATTTTAATTGATTAGTCTACTCCTGTTATAGTAAGGCAGTGGCTGGCCTCGTGATGAGATTCAGATAATGGATGTAATTCATATAAATATCCCCGGTTACAATTTACATAATAATAATACACAGTACATTAATAAAATTCTATTTTTTCAGTTGTAACTTACTTTTACAATCACATTGTATCTGTCGTAAGCGATTGCAGTCATTGTCCAAATAGAAGCGCCGCCACACAAAGATCCAATCAATGCATAAAAATCACACATTAGAGGACCTTAAAAAAAAAAGCTATATATATATATCTGCAGTTTAATAGTTGATTCTGAGGACAAGCAGAATAATATCATAATAAAAAATATCGCCATACCAAGAGCCCACGTTTCAAGCCAGCAGTTTATAACCATTGGAGGAGACATCATCATCATCATTATGAAATCCGAAAATGCTAAGTTTATAACAAGTATATTGCTTGGTGTTCGCAGATTACGAGTAACTAAAAAGATGTACACGACCATACCATTACCAGCCCAGCCAATAATGCCAATACAAATCATAACAAGGCCTAATAATTTATGCCAAACGGGCCACAGCGGTGGAAATTGATACCTAATAATAATAGTATTTATAATAATATTATTTATCTTACATAGTTACTATTTAATAAATGAGTCTGTATATTTAAATATTATTTACAGGAATGGAGAAACTATACTGGTTATATTCTGTGAAAAAAGTCTTTTATTCACAGGCACATAAAAAATAAGTGATTTGTATTAAAAACGACGTACATATATTATCATGTACTCGTATTTTGATACATTGAATCTGAATTCATAGTTACTTTTTCCCTGGAATATCAGGTTTAAAAGCATTTCAAGGTTAAATTTTGTAAAAAAAGTTGAAAAGAAGTAAACTAGTTTTTATAAGGTTTTGAATCTAAATTTAGAGACTGTTCAATCTCGTCAAAGTATACTTTTATAAAACTAGACAACTACAAATAAATGAAAAAAGGATAACTTGGTCCACAATATCATTCTTGCATGTTTCACAGGCCGCTGGTACTTCCGAACTCAGCATTGTTTAAAAAATTATAATACTTGAAGCTTATGTTTGCAATATTTTTTCAGGGTACTATAAATTGTGATAATTCACAACTTATTCCTTTGGTAATCGTACTCGTTCACGAATTTCAGTATTATTAAAAACATCGTCTTTTAGTTTAGCATCACTTGTGGTATAGCAATGACTGTTTCAGGCCACCCTGCGGGGGGGGGGTCCGTAACCCTTTGGTCCCCTGACCTAACCTTTCCATATTAATTATCATTAATGTTAATAATTATTTATATTTTTTGAGGAAGGTTCTTAGGCGTCCTAGTCTCTTGGGACCCTACCTAGTGCTATCTGTCTAATTTATGTAATCTATTTTAAAAAGTTATAAGTATTATTAATGATTTAATTGCTACATTGAAAATGAATAGAAAACGATAATTAAAAAAAATGAAGAGACAGATCAGAGAATTGAACCGGCGTCCTCTGGGTTGGCAAGCTAGCGCTCTACCACTAGAGCTAATGCCATATGTACATTAGAGAATGCTTATTGTGTATATTAGCTACATACATACATTTGATATAGGGCCCGGGCATGTAGAGGAGCAGGGGAGTGCATGCTGTCTATTGTTCTAGCTTGGGGATGCGCTGCTATAGTAGTAAACGCGTGCTCTCTCTCTCTCGCTCTTGCTCAGAGTAGACCACGGCGCGCGGCGGAGAAGGAGGGCAGCGCATGCTGTCAATAATTGTGATTTGGGGATGTGCTGATATAGTAGTAAATGCGTACTGTCTCTCTCTCCACGGAGGGACCTTCACTTACTACCATAGCTGTTTCCGTCAGAATGTTAGAGACTGCGAGTGCAGTCGCTCGACTGGCACCACCTTGAGATGTTCCTTCTAAACATCTCTACTAGGAGAACCTTATTCCCATCCATTCACCCTTTCTTATAATCGCTTGGTTGTTCACTTATTGAGATGTAATGTTTCTACTAAGAGAGTATCCTATCCTTCTCATGCATGACTATTTTATTATTGTAATTAATTAAATAAGTTTACATTCTATCGTTTATTTAATATTTATTATTTTTAATTAAACATTGAGTAGCGTACACTTTCTCTATAACCTTTATGTTCAATATCCGACATAGCTATTTTAAAATAGTCAGTCAAATTTTTATACAAATTATAGTCGTCTGTAAATCTTTCGACGGTATCGATCCCTTTTAATTTAGCTTATTTTTGTCTCTCCATCATCCAATCGTATATTTTTTATGTATTTACCGCAATACATAATATACGTATTCTCTCGAATTTGACTATGATATATGTATGATGATTTAAATTTAAGACTTAAATCTTCCAATCACGGGCATCTCATTTCAGTTTCGATAACTAAAATGTTTCTGCAATTAAAAAAGATAATTAAATTCAAATTTATAATTACATTCTACTGTAGGTTATTTAAACCTAATTTTCAGGAATAATTTTTTGGAGCCATTGCTTCTTTTGTAATCCTTTCACATAAATATTTTACAATCATGTAAATGACTAAGTATAGTGCAATTTAAAAAATTATATGGTATTATACCATTTCTGCATAATATACCTATAATATTGGATATATTAAATATTTCAAATAAAATCAATGTTAATTAAAGATAATAAAAATAAATACCATGCCGATGTAATTTCAGCCATTTATTAACACTTTGATATTTGAGAGGAAGTTTGAGACAATGATGTGGAAGTTTAAAAAATAGTACTAGAGATGAAGTATTAGAACATACTGGTTAATAAGCAAACTCCTTATAAATAAAAATATTATTAGGACACTGAAAGCCTTGAATATCTAAAATATAGTCCATTTTAGAGTATAAATCCATTTATTCTCTAAGATATGTGGACTGAATCGTACATAGAATTACAGATCTATATAAACCCTCAATACTAAATTAATAAGTTAGAGGGTGCTACAGTCAGTTCGTCCCCACTCTTTCGTTTTAGCTATCCCTTTCATATGCTACCTACATAGCTAATAGAGTTGCTTGCAGCGACCTCACTTTGCTGGTAGCGCCTTCACTTAGCCTTTATAAGCTGCTACGGCCTAGCAAAAGAGTGTCGTCTCTTAAGACAGCCTGCGAGCTAAGCTTGCTTTACCTTACTTCATTTGCAAGTAGTTCCTTAGTAGTAAGTTGGATCCTTATTGATTTGTTGAACAAATCAATATTAATTACCAACTGAGATCGAGTTCATTTCAGAGCTGTTTGCTACCTTTTCCATCCTCTCATCATAATAATCCTTTATACAGCTACAGACAAGTGACTCTACAAAACAATAAACCAGATAACTAACAACATGTCTTCTATTACCTATTTTGAGGAAACAATTACAAATTTGTGGAAGCTTATCATCATTTGGACAATTTAAATATAGATGATTGTATTAGATGGAGAAATCAAGCAATTAATGCTATAATTTCAATTAATGAATTTATGAATCGACCTCATTTAAGTAGAGCAATTCGACAAAGACGTCAAACTTGTGCTTGTCATTTGAATTCTATTGAAGTCAATTTAAGTAAATCTATAAAAGTTGGCGGAAGTATACACCAATTAACAGCTATTCAGAATGAAATTTCAGAAGATGGAGTTGTTTGGAGGCCAATTCATTAAGTCTTTGAAAATCGAATTAGTACAGCATGTATAGTTAATCAACATCACTTAGACATAAGAACGTTTCTAGTTGCTGCAAATCAACTTTTACAAATTAAAATACTACAATTTCTTGCTATTCACAATAAGTTAAATATAAATACTGAAATGGCATCACAATTTATCATAAAGAAAAATCAAGAAGAAGATATTAATATCAAGCATTTCAATACAGAAAATGTTTGCATTTATAGAACTACTGATCTTGATAGATCGTTTCAAAATAATGTTAAAGATATTATATTTAAACAAATAGAAGAATTTCAAAACAAAATCAAAACAAAATCAAAACAAACTAAACACGTCAACTTACTCTTAATACAAAATGAACATATTGATGAAAAAGATACTAATAGACCTCGAATACTGTTACGTGACACTTCATTGTGTTATAATTGTATTTTGTCGAATAATATTTCGGACCCGAGATTTCCGTTGGGACATAGTATAACTAGCAGTATTCGTGTACGCGACTCGGTATGAATGTGCGGCAGAGGCTGATTCACGCTACGGCAGCATGCTGCGACAGCATGCTTTGGTCAGCGTGCTTAGCTAGGTAAGACGAGCCAATACGAGAAGCGTAAACGTCTAAAGCGTATGTGCGAGAAAGAGTCGGAATGCGAGGAAAAAAGATATATAATGAACCGGCGAAAACAACGACCTCAGACAGAGAAATTAGTCAGTTACGAGTGAGCGCTCGACTAAGAAGGCCGCATATTTTCCTACTGAAGTTAAATCCGTAATAAGAGTTTGAGAATATAATTGTTTGAGTTGCGATTAAGTATTAGAAGTGCCGAGTACAATTGTTTTAATAATTTTGTGTAAACGAAAATCATAGGAATTATCATTTTCTTGCGTGTTGCTAAAGTATTGTATAAGAAATATATTGGACCATTTGATCTGATCAGATTCAAATTAAAGAAAGTCGCTTAAACGAAAATCATATTAAAGAAAATCGCTATTACATTTTTCTTTTTAATAAATAAGCGAAAAACGTTATAAAGTTATATATTTCTATTGAAGAATATGAGCATGCTCAAAACGTATTTGACAGGAAATATATTTAGGAATGTATTTTGATCTCTATTAGAATACTCATGTACTTCTACGAAGGTCGTTTGAAAAGTCCGTGCAAAAATAAAAACTGCTTGATTTTTTTTAATAAATCTTTTTTATTTTTCAACATAGTCTCCTTTTAGGCTTATACACTTCATTCAATGCTGCTCTAGTTTAATCCCTTCCAAATAATAGGATTTGTCCAAGTCTGTAAAATAGGCATTCGTTTCTGCAATCACCTCCTCGTTTGAATAAAATCATTTCCCCGCCAGCCATTTTTTCATATTAGGGAACAAATAGTAGGCCGACGCAGTCAAGTCTGGAGAATAGGGGAGATGTGAAACGAGTTGGAACCCTATCTCCATCAGTTTTGCGGCCATAACTGCTCAGGCGTGAGCTGGCGCATTGTCGTGGTGGAAGAGGACTTTTTTGTGGGCCAATCGTGGCCGTTTCTCTAGCAACTCGGTTTTCAAACTATCCAATAACGATAAATAATATTTGCCTGTAATGGTTTTGACCCTTTTCCAGATAGTCGATGAAGATTATTCCTTGCGAATCCCAAAAGACAGTCGCCATAACGTTCCCGGCCCAAGGAATTGTCTTCGCCTTTTTCGGAGCAGATTCCCCCTTGGTAACCCATTGTTTAGACTATTCTTTGGTCTCAGGAGTATAGTGATGTATCCATGTTTCATCTACAGTGATGAAACGACGCTTAAAGTCTTGCGGATTTTGCTGGAACAGCTGCAAACCATTCCTGCAACACTTCATATGATCTCGTTTTTGGTCAATCGT